TTAAACTTTATGCCCAAAAGAATATATTCACTCGTGTTAAAGAGAAGCATGGGCAAGATCTTGTAGGCAAGATTGAACTCGACTTCCGATGTTCACAAGACCTAGGCTTAGTCCTAACGTTCATCCAACGTAGATGTTTGTCATTGTCTGAAATCAAACGAGAATCACTATCATAGTGTCACAGATACATCAGTGATTTTCTACATGTAAGCATAAATCAATTCCTTTCTAAGACTATTACAGGCAACGAGCCACTGCCATATTCAAACAGCTTTTGAGGCCTTCTACAAGGATTTAACAACACACACAAAACACCTGTCCTAGCACCAAAAGTCAAATTTGAAAACAAAAATACAAAGCATCTGCTACAACTACACTAAAATTCGCGTGAAGTACAAGTTTCAACAACAGATCCGTTATCTCCAGAAGCAAGAATCCGACTAAAAAAAGCTATCTTTTTCTAATCCGTGCTGAAAGAAGACAAAGGTCGCGGWGTTGTACTAATAATGGATCGTTCCAAGTACATAGAGAAATGCCAGAACATTTTAAGCAAAGAACAGTTTTTTAAACTCTTTAAAAAGAGCTTGATGAAGATCCTACTAGAAAGACCGATGGCTCCACCCAACGCAAGCTAAGAAAAATTAATCAAAATCTTGACGATAATGTATATGAAAAGTTGTATCAACCAGGATCAAAGCCATGACTCTACGGTACAGCTAAAGTTCATAAGCTAAACGTGGGGATGGTATAGATGAGCTAACCCTTAGACCTATCATTTCCAATATCGGTACACCAATCTACAACCTGGCTAAATATTTAGCGGAACTGTTAGCACTTCTAGCTAAATCACAGTATGCGGTGACAARTACCACAGATCTACTCCAACGCATCCGCTCCGAGAAACTTCCACAAGGACAGTCTATCCCCTTGAGCCTTATGAACTAATGTAATCATATTCATGTCTGAGTTCATTTTGTAGTCGATGGCTTTTGGGTAAAGGCYGAAATATTCATATTAGTAAAATGATAAACCTTCTCGTAGTTCTCTTTCTAATTTTGAGATATACTCTCATTAAATGGGAATCCAACAGAAAACCAAGAAAAAGAAGATTCTGTGTTGGTCTAAATATTTGCTTATCTGAGTGGACAGTAAAACGCAAACTGTTTAATACACTTTCAATATGATAATAGACTTTCACAATGGCCGACACTAATTAGCATATTATTGCTAAATTCATAATGTTGACAAAAGAAAACACTCAGATGATAGATATCAAACCCAAAGATAAGCTCTGAAAGTTTCAAAGAAAAATATTAAATCCTCTGGAAGTTATAAGGGTTAGAAGATGAGCAAAAACACCAAAACGAGGCCACCAAGGCCTTAGTAAAGAATTTCATACAAATCCTTGTATTTTCATTCCTCCACAACTTCGTTAGTATTTTATCTATATCTATATCTATATCAAAATTTTGCACAATTACTTTTTTCTGATAGTTCTTCATTATGACAGTGCTGAATGTTTCCTTGATATTGCCAATCATATAAAATCGATAGTAGGCAATTGTGAAAGTGGTCTATAATGTGACAGTATCAATAACATTTGAACGCATTTTAATCTTTTAATCTTGGGAACACTTTTTAAAGTTTTATAAATTGTTTATTTATTTGTTTATCTTTTTTAGGTTGCAATCAACCTTGCGCATAACTACGGGAACAAAGCACCACAAGTGGCACTTTTGGCAAGTCTCACAGGAAAACGGTGGCCAGTAGTTGGACAAAGACTCATTCCAGAATTTCCTTACATTGAAGCTGAGGTACTCTTCTTCTAGAACTCATTAATAATTCATGAGCTATTAGTCCAGTGAGCATCGAACTATTGGGTCATATGATGGGCTTTTATATCCCGATAAAGTACTGATGTTTTATTAATCAGTTCTATATCAGATATATAGAACTGATGTTTTATTAATCAGTTCTATATCAAATATAAAGAACTGATGTTCAAGGTCATCTGCGCTTTATCGCAACTCAACACTAGCAAAGGTCTCAGTTTTAATATCGCATCATAGCGGAGCTCCCGCCGGCCCGCGCGAGCGGAGCACCATAACTAAGGAAAAAAGGTATACCCATGGGGCTGAGTTTTGATCAACCGACGCAGGAAGCCCAGTTGTCCTTCCGTACGTACGGCGTACGTACGTCCGTGTACATCGCGATTCTGATTGGCTACTAGCTTTTGGCGGGAAAAAGAAGCGCGCTCGCGTCAATTTTTGAAAACAACTTTTTCACCAACGACGAAAACGACTCCATTTTTTTTTAAATCACTTYACTTCTGAGCCAAAAATGTCGAAAATCAACGGGTAGCTAATGGAAAGCGATCTTTATCTGAATAAGAAAAGACAAGAAGAAGAAAAAGAAAGCGCCGAAGAAGTCTTAGTGAAGAACAACACACTAGGCTTTAAAGGGAGAGAAAACGTGACTGAAGCAAATCCAGAAACAAGTGAACGCCAAAGACAACGATTATTGAGGGAGAATTTCACAAAGAGGAGAATTGACATACATGTATTCTCCAACGATACCGTGGCGGTATGTTAGATTATTATGACAAGTAATGGGAGCTGTCAAGCGGTTTTTGGTGCTCAAATGTCAATTCTACTACTGGAAACACAAGCAGTTTTAAATTTGGTTTTGAATTTGAAAATCTTCACCTGTACACTTAACTTCTCAATTAAGCTTAAATCAGTTTGTTGACAATGAAAATACGTGTGAATTTTGTGTGCAAGCTACTTTATAATCTTTATAATGCATTTTAAAAAGCTGCTAGAGACTTGATGTTTATTTGATTTATCACTGTATGATTGAGAAATATCAACAAAAAAATGTATTGATGATTAGTGTTATTCCTGTGTTCATGTTTCCTGAATGATTGAAAAACCATTGCATCAAAACTGTCAAATTGCATTAATCATTTTTTTTTTATGATCACTGTATGATTGAAAAATATCAACCACCAAAATAGTTATTATTTATCATTCCTGTGTGATTAAATAGAGGATATTACATGGTCGCATGGAAATATTGTGCTCACTCGATGGATATACATTCAAAACTTCAAGATAAAAATTATATCTTCAAGCAACATGTAATGTTCTGTTTATTAAATGATTTTGGTGTAAGCAAAAAACTGTAACATAATCATAGAAGATCAAAAAGTTTGAACATTTGAACATAATGATTAATTTATGATTTCTGCATGATTGAAAATTCCAAAACTGTCAAAATGCATTTAATATTAATTT